AGTGTCGTTTCTAAGTCACCAATTTAGTGCTACTTGGTCCCAATCTATTTTCCCATTGGGAACCTACTAGCACTAAGTTGTTAACTGGTTAGCAAGATGCTTCCCAGACACTAGCCACAATCAAACCTGCTTGCGAACCTTTTGCCACAACAATCCCGCCCTCTCGATAAACGACCAATCACATTCACTTTATTCACTCGTGTAAAGTCAGGCACCACTCAGGAGAATTCGGAAATGCAACGGTTGGAACAGCCGCTTCCCTACGCCTTTAAGACGTAAACATGGTTGACGTTCAATCACCTTGCAGTTCTAGTTGTGTTTCCTCAGGCACTTTTCTTCTAGTATCACTGGGAAAAAAAAAAAAAAAAGAGAGTGAAGGAGGAAATGAAAGTTGTGTTGCAACAACCTTCTGGCCAAACTTCGGTTTAAACTGTGAAATTGATTTGTAATGCTTAAACAGCAGCTTTGAAAAAGCTATATAAACTGTGTGAACTTTTCCACATTCTGCCAAAATACAAGTGGAAACCTCAGTGTATGTATTTTGTGTGATACAAACATATGACATAACTGATTATTTAAATAAAAAAAGACAACATATTAATGTATTCCGTTTATTTTCATCTATAAAATCCAGAGTAACCAAGTTGTCATCAGTGAAAACCAAATAAGATGGAAGGATTTGTTGATAAATACTGATTTTAAACTTACATTTTAAATCATAAGAGGAAACAGGAGCAGCTGAGAAAAAAATAATTATACCATTTGGAGAGTGGTGGTCTAGTGGTTAGGGCAGATTGGAATCCTGAGGTCGTGAGTTTGAAACCCAATGCCACTCTGGGTCTCTTAGCAAGACCTTTAACCCCTGATTGCTCCCTGGGCGCCCCACAGTGGCAGCCCACTACTCTCCAGGGGGATGGGTTAAATGCACAGGTAAATTTCTCCAATGTGAGATCAATAAAGTTCAATTATAATTAATTAGCTTTTATATTTTTTAATTATATCATATCTTAAACTTGCTATTTTCCTGTTTTTGCAGTTTCCTCATAAAGATAACCGCTGGTGTTGGTTTAGCAGTTTTTCAAAGGGAAAGTCTTGAAAATCAGACATCAATTCTGGCCTGTAGTTATAATTTTTTATTTATTTTAAACTTTCCTTTTGTGTTTATTTTTATTATTATTTTTTTTTTTGTAACACTTTGGATACATTTTAACCAGCCATGATGTTTAATTGAAAAAAACAAACAACTAAATTGCTTATATATGATTTAGCCATAACCTGCAAATCATTGAGTTCATTTTTATTGTAGGAATCTGTGTCTGAGCAGCAGCCAAGCATTTGAACATGGGAAGACTCTACCATTCATCAACCCCAGTTCCCTGGAGACCCTGAGGGCCTTGGTGCAGGAGATCCAGAGCAGCGGAGAAACGGACCCTGAGCTCTGGAAGGATTGTGAGGTGAGAGCTGGTAGAGTAATTGGCCCTTATATGCTATTTTAACAATTGGAGTCATCACCCAGAAACGTTACTTATTATATTGAATCATATGTGTTGGTCTTTATTTTAAAACCAGAAAATCCAGAGTTTGAAAACAAGGCTTGTTTTGTTTTTTCATGTGGGTTCTTCGTCAAATAAGAAAAGCCCACAAACTCACGCTCTCTACAGAGTGTGATTTTGGTCCTTCTTCTGATCTGACGACATTCCTGGAAGGATGCTAACATTAGCCTGCCTTGCTAACACCACACCACCACCCTTTTAGCTTTTTATTTATTGTGTAAGAGACCAGAAAAGATAGTAAACAATCCATGACTAAATGCTAATGTTGCTAATGCTACGTTCACATGATCACCACCAGTCAAATGCTTGTGTGTACCCTGCTAAGGAAAAAAGGGTTCAGAATGAACTCTATTACATTTTTCTTTGCCTTAAAAATAAAATATGAATTTAAAGACAATTTAAGAAGTGATTAAATATACTAGATACTATATATACTAGATTATGACTTTTAGTTAAAAAATGCACTTAAAAAGAAATTTGCTTTCAAACCTTCAACATTCACCAAACCCTTTCATTAACCGTCTACTGCCATTTAGTCCTGCTTTGTGGCAACATCTCCAGGTTAAACTTTCTAAAGGCACATGATTAGATGTTTTCTGTAACATCATCCATTTGATATGAAGTGAACAATAAAACATGGAAAATCTCTCTGAAATCAGGACTGATAGAAGCCCACGCTCCTTAGCTGGTATCACGTGGGAGAAAAATAACAACAGTTGATAACTGTTGCATTGGAGCTTGTTGAGTTTAGAATAACAAAAAAAAAAAGAAATCTAGGCGTCACTTGGCAGACTAGTTGCTCTAACAGAGAAATAGTGTTTCTCTCTAGACTCCTCCCCTGAACATAACAGAGCCTCCTCCATCTTTCACAGTAGGGACAGTGTTCTTTTCTTCTTATGCTTCATCTTTTGCCATCTGAACTGGTTTTATTCCTGGCAGCAAATTAAACTTTACAGGTACTCTAAAAGGTCTGAGGTCGTTTCTATATGTTTTGGTTCAGTCCTTTATTTCCTCTGTGCTACATGATGTTTCAGTATCCCTTGTTAGTTTTAATTTGCATTAACTGAAGCAGAAAGAAGCAAATAAAAGCTGCTCTTTATACCCCTTTATGCCATGTTGTGTGCGCAGGTGTTTCTGCATGTTGGATGTATTTCCTCCCGTGGATGTTATTGCCACTTTGCAATGATCGCAAAGCGACTTGTTGCCATCTTTCTCTTCCTTAAAATGAAGCCAAACTTTTGATTGCTTTACCCGATGGGACGCCCAATTTTTGTTTGCTTTTCTAGCCTTACACCTGCTCACGTCGTACTTGCTTACTGAATGCCGTGTGCGTAACTTGCTTAAACAACGTGATGTAAGTCGTGCTGCCCAACGCTAGGCTCTGGTGCTGCCTGGAATCTTTAAGAGAATCGTTAAGCGAGCTGCCAAACGGTGCCATGAAATTGGAAAACACAGAACCAGTTCTAAACAGGAACTGGTTTTCAGTTCCCATTCCTAGTCTCATCCTAACTGCACGCATTGAATAATAAAAGCGAGCATATTTTTCTGGCAGGTTTCATCATTTTAAGTTAATTTAGGCGTCAATAAAGTGTTTCTTAGGAGTGATCATAGCGATCTGCATCATCAGTGCTGTGTCTCTGCCTGCCAGCTTCCCAGATAAGCTTCTCTGATTGGTTGATGTGGCGTGCCGAGCAGCAAAAGTAAAAATTTCTCAAACTCCAGCAGCAGCCGCTTGCATAAAGCGTCACACGCCTCAGATGCTCAGAAGCTCACGATGCGCTGCTTCGGCTGCTCAGACAGGCCAAGATGCGTTGCTCCTGCTGCTCTAGACGTGTGCAGGACCTTTTGATGCAAGTCAACCATAGACTTTGCACATAAACTAGCTGCTTTTGCTGCTTCCATTGCATGCGGTCTGAACGTAGCATCACAAGCCAAAACAACTGTTTAAAATAGATAAACACGGAGCATCACTGGTGAAAGGGATTCAGAGGGACAATAGAGTGAAACACTGACTACGCCCTGGCTTCCTTACATGTTGCTCTCCATTGTTAACTTTCTTGATTTCTGTTGCACTGCTGACATCATCAACACTAAGACAAGCTGCTGCGGGGGGACAAAGGCCAAGCAGCTGCCAGCTGAAGTTAGACCCTTTTTTATCAAAGCACACATTGTCAATAAAGTCTAGTATTTAACATTTATAATCCCTCTGAAATTGTTCTTAAATTCATGTTTAATCTTTTTAGGAGAAAATAAATTAGAGCTCATTCTGAGCCCTTTTCATACCCCTTTTTTTAAGGATGGTAGCCTCAAGAATTTAACCTGTGTGTATGAGCATTATTGTAGATTTAGCGTTAGCAACAATAGCAGTTAGCCGTGGTTTGTTTACTATAGTTTCTTGTTCTCCAAAGCAATCATAAAAAGTAGCAACAAATTCTGACTGTCGGCAGAGGAGGCCCTGATTGCTGGAATAGAGAGAGGAGTGGTGATAGCAAGAAGGCCAAATATTAGCTTCTTTCTAGAGATGATGTTAATCAAGAAGGACCAGAGTTGTGCTCTGGCGAGAGCATCTGTTTGGGATTCATACGTTGGATTTTCTGGCAGGTTTTAACTAAAGCCCAACACTAACAAACACTATTTAACATGTAATCTGATTTCTGGTTGATGACACCTTTTATTTTTATTTAAGGTTTTTCCTGTGAATGAAACTTTAAAGTGCAAACTTATGTTTTTTATTCCATACAAATCCTGCTTTTCTAAAAAGTGCAGCTCTCCTTTGCTAAGTGGTTAGCAGATATTGCAGCTTCTGCAGCAGTAAATGCTATAAGGAATATTAGCACTTATTAATATTCATAAAGCAAATACCAGCCTAGGTATTGTTTATACATATACTGATGGGTTGTGGAAATGTTTTGTCTTCATCAGGGTCGATGGTTGCATCTGTTCCAGCTGGTTGAAAAGCAATACCAAGAGCAAATACTTGCTCAGCAAGAACAATATCAGTGCCAAATACAGGTAAACCAGCTTTTACTGTCACGTTCTTTTATTTCTTTGATGAATAAGTTTGTTTTCCTCTCCTTTAAATGTCCTTTTTAAATTTTATTTTGTTTAGTTGATTCAGGATGAAATAAAGGCCCTGGTTCAGTTCCAGAACCGGCAGACCAGCGGTCAGACCCAGACAGAGTTCCCCTCTGTGACCAAAAGCCCCTCAAACACAAAAGACTGTATTTTCTCCATCATCTCCAGTGAATGCAAGCGTCCCAAAAATGTGCCAAGTGACAACGAGAGCCTAGGAGCCCCAGTCCTCACTCCTTTCAGCTCCCCCTCACCTCCGCCTCCCAGGCTGGAGATCACCAGCCAAGCAGAGGAGAGGCCGACCACCATGCTCAGCAGTGGATACGGAACACTGAACACTTGGGAAACTGGCTTTGAGGCCGCTGAGTCTCCAGGTAGAGATGATGAGGATGATTACAAAGGGCCGAAGCACAGGTGGACCAGTATCCTCCAGGAAGATGCGCAGACAGCTCCGGTGGAGAACCAGCAAGAGCAGACTGTGGTCACAGAGGAATCTCTTCACTCTATGTACCAGCAGAAAACATCAGGGTATGTGTGAAACTTTACCCTGCCAATGATAAAATATGTTTACAAAAAGCACTAATGCTGTAAATATCTTAGCGTTACTATGTACACTGGAAAAACAATCTAGAAATAAATAAAACTTCCTAAATTAAGTGTATTTACCCTTAATTTGAGTAGGCAAATGTCAATGGAGAGAGTATTTTTACCCTTAAAATAAGATAATTAGACACATGCACTTGAAATAAGACAATGCAATTGTGTTTTCTTATTTTAAATCTATATGTCTTGTTTAGGGATGGGACGATTTATGAAAACCGTCCGAACCGTTCGGTTCGACTGTCTCGGTTCGGTTCGCGTGTGTTGCGTTCGGTTCATGCGCTGCTCCTTTTTCTCATAGGCGAAGCGTTTACACTCCAGAGCAGAAGGTGGCGGTACTGCGACCAAAGCCAACCACCAGTAGTAAACAAGAAGAAAAAGAAGCGAAGCAGCTTAGCAGGGTGTAGCAGGGAAAAAAATCAGTTGTTGTGGAGAATTGTGTCGGAATGGCGAGTGGGAAAGAACAGGAGTTGGAAGACGCGCCAGCAGCACTTTATAGGTCTGCTGTATGGGACCACTTTGCATTTAGAGTGACCTACGATGACGGCGGAAAGAAAGTTGTGGATAAAAGTGCAACAGTGTGCAAGCATTGTGCAACACGTTTTGTTTATGCTAACAGCAACATGTCATGCTAACCCCGAAATCCCTCATACTCCGTCAGCCAGCAACCCCCGCTTCGCCCCGCTGCGCTCCAGACCAGCTGCTCAAAGCAAAGCCTACAGCCCCCACTGTGTCTTCGTCTGCTCCCCTCTGAGTCCCTTGGAGATCGTAGAGAGCATGCGCCAGATGATTAAATTCAAAGCAGCAAAACATACGCAAATGATCCAGGGTTTCCGCGGATCATTTAAAATAATTACAATCCATTATTTTTGGGGGGATTTTTTCATTAATTTCATAAATTTTTATGGAATTTTGGTGTAACAATCAACATATATCGAATCAAACTGAACCGAAAACCGTGACCACGAAACCGTGAATCGAACCGAACCGTGGATTTTGTGAACCGTTCCACCCCTAGTCTTGTTCCAATAGCAAGATGTCTCTTTTTGATAATGACTTATCTAGATTTAGATTTTTTCCAGTGTATTTATACATAAGAAAATACCAAAGTCATTAGTGGAAATATAGTTATGAGTTATATAGTTATAGTTATGAATAAAAAACATTTTGATCAATCAGTTACTGAAATGATTGTCAGCTAATTTAGCAACTGAATAATTATCACCTGTAGTATAAAGACTCCAAAACATACAAGTTACTAAAAGAACAACAACTCAGATGAGCGAGGAGCAGGAGGAGCTGGAGTAAGTCTTCAGTTTACACTGATTCAGACAAAGGTCAAGAATTACTGACCTATGAACCGGAAGTCAAGAGTTCACCTGAACTTCATGTTTAATAAGCTGATACAAGTGTGTCTGAAAACCAGCAACAGAATAAAATAATAATTTAGAGCAAAGGATGCCCTGGTGCCTGTTGGCATGGAGTCCCTGCCCTATGTTATGCAGCTATCATGATCCTTTTTGCAGAATACTTCTTAGGTAGAATAAGCTGCATGTAAAACTCTTTTAGGCTGTTTTATCTCAGACTGTATCAAAAAAAATCAGCATGTTTTGTTTCCTGAGTTTGGACTTTGAAATAACATATAATGTTGTGACGGCAGAACCAGCCAGCGGCTGACCTCCTGGGCCCAGAGGCAGAAACTCAGACCCAAGAGGACCAAGCCAGGACAAAGTCCAGCACAAACCCCGGACCAGCAGGAGTTTCCTTATTGCTCCAGCAAACCTGGAAAACAGAGCCTGTTGGAGCAAACAGACTCACAGGACCAGGTAGGTTAACAGCTGCTGCTTTAGGCTGTTTTTATTGTCCCATATAATATTTCTGCTCCTGCCCCCCGTCAGCTTTTCTGCTCTGTCTTTCAGCATCAATCAACAGGACTGCCGTCCAGCTCTCCCCCCCTGAGAAGGAGTGACAGCCTGATGTCGGAGGCTTCAGGTAATTTACAGAGTCAGACAAGGGAAGCAAAACCTCAGGAGAAAATACCTGAACCATGCATATATTCTCAGATCAGCCGTGTAAAAATGACTCCAATACAAAGTATAGCTCAGCAGTTTAGATTGAATCACACTAAGAGAAATATTGGATAATAGACCAATATAGTACCTTAGACCCAGTCCTAGATAGATATTCACAAAAGGATAATACACATGTTAAAACTGGGACTTTAATCAATGGTTATATCCATATATATGTTTTAAAGATATTTGGAGGAACTCAAATCCAAACAAAGTACCCATAAAACTCAATTTCATATTGACTCTTTTTTTATTATCCATGGAGCTACAACCACATGTAGAAGACTGCTGGTATAATAGTATTGTGTTAAGTGACCATGCTCCAATCTCTTTCAAAATACAATTGGATAAGGAATAAAGACTGAAGTCTTATCTGTTAAAAGATGCAACTTCAAATGTCAAATGTTGTAAAATGTATAGATGATTTATTTTGAATGGAATAAGGAAGACACCTCTGCTAGCATAAGATCAGAAGCATTCAAAGCTTATATGAAGGGAGAGGTGGTTGGCTATACAAGTAAAAAATACAATCAAGATATTCTGTTACTGGATCATCAAATCAAGATGTTAGAAAATGAGCCTCACGCAAGTAATGACTCTGAAAAGAAGTTTCCTTGTAATTCTAAATATGATAAATGAACAACTGGCAAAGTGATTAAAAGCTTAATGTGGACAAAACAAGCATTTTATGACCAGGGAGAAAAAAAACAGGCAAGTTACTCGCCTGGAGAAGGAAAAAGCATCCGGCTGATAAAAGCAATCCTCAGTATAAAAACCTTTGGATGAATGACCACTGACCTAAAGGAATAAATGATATAAAAGTTTTTATAAATTATTATACCAATCAGAATGTAATCCCAATGAAGACGTCCAGAATAGATTCTCATTCAAAATTTGCATCTAAAAACTTTATCAGAAGAAGGTAGAATGACATTTACAGTCCTCTTACAGCTCAAGATATATTAGAAGGAAGAGGAGAAATGATGGTTTAAAAGCACCTGGACCGGATGGACGACTGGCAGAATTATTTAAAGATAAATTAACGCCAACATGACTCAATATGTTCAAAGAGCCATACATGATAATTATATTGTCTGTAAAGTAAGACCATTCCATTGTTGCCTTTTTTTTTTATTTTTTTTATTTTTATCCGATTTACTTGTAACTTCAAACTTAACACAGAAATGTTTTTTTTTTTTTACTTTATTTTTATGACAGATGCAGCTCTCTGAGGGGGAATGTGTGAGACAGATAAATGTTGTTTTTATTAATTGTTATTATTTGAATATTACTAAAAAATATTTTGGGTAAAAAAAAAATAGATGTAGAAATTCTTGCTGCTTTAAAGATGTTTTAATGAGGAAACATGTTCTGTTTAAGGTCTGACTTACTGGCGTCTGAACGAATCGGATCTCTATCGGCCCCTTCCGGACAGCTTTGACAGCGGAGCTTACCTCCTCCTGCAAGAGGCATCCATGAGTCTCGTGAGTACAAATAAAATTTTTTTTATGTTTCTGTACATATTCCAGGCAGCCGACACTTAACCTCTGATAGCTGCGAAAAGCAAAGCAGTTTGGTTTCACCCAGGTTGTGTTCTAAAGGCTGTTTTAAATTGGCCGTAAAGGGGAGTTGTTGGAGGTCGAGCTGACAATATTTATTTTAAAGATAATAACAATTATAATATTAGATATTATTTATAGTACACTTCACATAGATAGCCTGTCCCAAAGTGCTACAAACAAAAGAAAAACGATTAAAAGATGAAAATAACAAGTTAAAAAGTCTGCTTTGGGCAGTTTGTTGAAAAACATTGAAGGAGATAAAAAGTCCCACTGTTAGGACTTTCAGCCATTATATTTAAAGTCGTAGGGAAATCATATTTAAATTTCAAATCATTCTGGCTTAAACATGTATATAAATGGACGCTTTATCAGTTTATATTCTCCCAAAATTTAGAAAATTCCGTTATCTTCTGCAGGCCAGTTAGTTATACGTCACCCTGAACACCTACATTCGGCCAATCATATATCAACGTTCCTCTTTTCGGTCATAGCATCTTGATCTATATGTCGCAGCTAATATACGCAACGGTTGAAATA